TTCAGATTTTGGTGGTGGAGGGATCCATGTGTTTGGATGCTGGAGATCGATTCATTTTTTAGGACCTGGCGTCATGGATAGATTATGTCGGGTCTAACATCGTCAGATTTTGGTGGTGGAGGGTTCCTTGAGTTTGGATGCTGAAGACTGATTCATTTTTTAGAACCTAATGAGGCCACCACGGGTGGTTCCATTTACATTTGTTGCTGAAGTGTTAATCTTTGGAGTCATGGGTAGATTATGTCGGGTCTAACATCTTCAGATTTTGGTGGTGGAGGGTTCCTCGAGTTTGGATGCTGGAGACTGATTCATTTTTTAGAACCTGGCGTCATGGATAGATTATGTCGGGTCTAACATCGTCAGATTTTGGTGGTGGAGGGTTCCTTGAGTTTGGATGCTGAAGACTGATTCATTTTTTAGAACCTAATGAGGCCACCACGGGTGGTTCCATTTACATTTGTTGCTAAAGTGTTAATCTTTGGAGTCATGGATAGATTATGTCGGGTCTAACATCTTCAGATTTTGGTGGTGGAGGGATCCACGTGTTTGGATGCTGGAGACTGACTCATTTTTTAGACCCTGAAGAGACCACCACAGATGGTTAAATTAACATTTGTTGCTAAAGTGTTAATCTTTGGCGTCATGAATACATTATCTCTGATCTGTCATCTTCAGATTTTGGTGGTGGAGGGTTCCTCGAGTTTGGATGCTGGAGACTGATTCATTTTTTAAACCCTAACGAAGCCACCACGGGTGGATCCATTTACATTTGTTGCTAAAGGGTTAATTTGAGATTTGGACCTCTAGGTTGGGCAAGGGTCGCGGAAAATTGCCCCGGCCGATGTCGGTCGCCATTAAATTGATATTCGATGAATCGGCCCGTCGACGCCACGGACCGGTCCGAGGTCGTTCAGAGGAAGAACGTTCCATGCACCAGGTCGCTCCTTTGTCCGACACAATGCCTGGCTTACGGATCGCTCAATATTTCCCGTCAACAGCTCGCACGCGCTCATCTCGTTATGGAGTCTGTTTGATCGGCAAACAGACTGCTCGGCGCGTGCACATAAGCCTGCATCTGCTCCCAACAATTATTTTTTCTAAGCCTATATTATGAGCAACGTGTCGGGAACGTCCCGAAGACTTTCCACCTACACAACGAGGATCCCCTGATGAGTTCCCGAAGACAATCCCTGGACATCCTTAAACACCTCCAGGTCCAAATCAAGATCCCTCGCAAAATCAAATGTTGCTTAAAAAAATAAAAAGGCACGTTTATTCCCATCCTGGACTATCTCCCAGGTGTGAAGACACCCTGAAGACCTCCCGACGGCATTTCCAGTACACCTTGGGGACATCTTCTAGACTTAGAGACCCTCCAAGGTCCACAAGGAGATCACTCAGGCCCAAATTCCGGGGCAAAAAAGCACGTTCCACCTCGATCGCGATGTTCCTAGTCAGGATGAAGCATCCACGAGGTACTCGAAGAGGTACACGAAGAGGTGGCACCTTTTCCTCGGCGCTTCTACGATCAGCGATCGAACTCGAAGAGGAGCCTGAAGAGACCTCGGAGGGCGAGGTCTGAAGGTGGAGGACGGGCTAGGAGGCGGAAGTAGGGTCGTTATCCCCTCGCAATTGGTAGTCGAGAAAGGGTTAAGGACCTCTCCCAGGGCGTCTGGAGTATCGTCAGAGGGGACTATCGGCAATCCGGTCTCGCCCAGCATCTGAGCCCAATACTCGGCGTCTGGGGACGTCGTCGGCGTCGTCGTCGCCGGCGACGGCGCTATTAGCGCCGCTCTCAGACGGCGCGCCTCCACCCGGTGACAAACGTTGACACCTAAACAAAGGGATCGGCCCAGGGCGGACGCGCAATTTCCGCGCGCACCCTGCGCCATGGAAATCCTGGCCGAGGCGAAATTAATTTCTGCCACTCACGCACGTGCCGTCGAGAAATTCGACTCCGAGTCGCTAAACCTGACGAAGAACCTGCGGAAGAACACCTCGATGATTACTTCGAAAAACGTCCTGATGAAACCCTAGCGGAATATCCTGATGAAATCTTTACGGAACACTTTGAAGAACGTCCGGATGAAATCGTTGCGGAACACTTTGAAGAACGTCCTGATGAAATCCTCGTGGAACAGTCTAAAGAACATCCTGATGAAGTCGTCACGGAACATTGTGAACTATGTCCTAATGAAATCCTTACGGGAAACGCTGAAGAACATCCTGATAAAATCCTTATGGAACACTGAAGAACATCCTGAAGAACAATTTGAAAAACAACTCTAAGAACACCCTGAAGAGGCTCCCTTAAATTTCTATCGGATACCTCGATTTAACCCTCACGGAACGCCTTGAAGATCATCCTGACAAAATCCTTTGGAACACTAAAGAACATCCTGATGAAATCTTTATGGTAAACGCTGAAGAACATCCTTATGAAATCCTCATGGTAAACGCTGAAGAACATCCTGATAAAATCCTTATGGAACCCTGAAGTACACCCAGAAGAACACCCTGAAGAGGCTCCCTTAAATTCCTATCGGACGCGGAATCCGACCCTTGGCGATCTCGAGTCTCCCGGTCTAGGGATAAATTAAACGTCCCATAAATTTCTGGCGGCAATGCGCGACCCCGGGAACTTCGTAAGCCAATCACGTACCACAGGGATGCCCAACAGGGCCGCACGTAGCCAATCTCGCGCGTCCGTTGGACAGATCGAGGAGAAAGTCGATTTCGATTAAGCGCCCTCCGTCGTCGAATTTCCCGCGAGCTCCCGCCTCGCAGGGAGGAGTCGAAATGCTTAAAAAGGGCGCCGGGGGGGAGATAAATTATCCCTGGAAGGGGAAAGTGAATCGATCCCTCCAACTTTACGATAATAAATTCGGCGCCTCCGCTTAATGGACGTGTTATCGACCCGGGGAGAGAGAGAGAAAACGATGCTGCCCTTGAAGTCGTATTACTGTATCCTCGTGTTATGCCGATCATTAATACGGTCCTCATCCCCTCGACATGCCAAAACGATGTATTATCGACAAAGGGACGCCTCCTCCTGATCTTTCTCCACGCGCTTCCACCCCTTTTACATCTCGACACAAAAGCCGGGGTTCCCGCTTCGAGAGGACCGCCTCTATCCTTTTCGGGATGACGTTTCTGGGGAGAATTGAAGAGCGATTTATTTCCCTAGATTCGGGATGCTTCCTGGATTTGGGGGTGGGCGAAGGAAAGGGATGAAGAGGAACCTTCGTCTTCGATGTTAGGATAACGTTGCGTATGATTTACAGCCTTGTAATGATTATATCATTTTTGACCCTATGATACCCTCCATGATGTTGAGTGTCATAATCTTATATAGTGTAGGCCCTAATAACTCTGTATGATGTGTGGTTTTATCATAATGTATAATGTTCAGTCTGTCGGACTGTTTTATCATAACAAAGACCTATATCATTTTCGATTAACTTTACTCAGTGTTTAGTGCCATAATAATTTTACTGGAAGTTCAGCTCTATTTTAGCCCAACATAACGTCCAGCCCTATTTTATCTTACTGTAGCCTCACATAATCTTAAACCTCCCAAAATCCTAAATAACAATCTGCCCTATCCTATTCTTACATAACCTTCAGCCCTATCCTATCCCTACATAACTTTCAACATGGGAACCCATATGATATTCAGTCTTATGGTAACCTTGAATAATTTTAAACCTATCATAACCCTACATGACGTTTAGCACGATAAACTATATGACATTCAATTTTATAGTAACCTTGTATAATCTTAAACCTATCATAACCCTACATAATGTTCAGCCCTATCGTAACTCCACATAACATTTCGCATGATAAGCCATATGACATTCAATTTTATAGTAACCTCGAATAATCTTAAACCTATCATAACCCTACATAACGTTCGGCTCTATCGTAACTCCACATAACATTTAGTATGATAAGCCATATGACATTAAATTGTATGGTAACCTTCCATAATCTTAAACCTATCATAACCCTACATAATGTTCGGCCCTATCGTAACTCCACATAACATTTAGTATGATAAGCCATATGACATTAAATTGTATGGTAACCTTCCATAATCTTAAACTTATCATAACCCTACATAATGTTCGGCCCTATCGTAACAACACCACATAACATTTCGCATGATAAGCCATATGACATTCAATTTTATAGTAACCTCGCATAATCTTAAACCTATCATAACCCTACCTATCGTTCAGCCCTATCGTAACTTCAAATAAGATTCAGTCGTACGACAACCCTCAGAATTCTGGGAGCTCCCCTCGGCTGAGCAGACGGTGCATCCCGACTCATCCCGAGATCTAAGGAATAGTTGAGAGTTCGAGGAAGGGGGTAGGGCTCCTCGGAGGAAGCCAAAAGGTGCATGCCGGCCCGTCGAGATCTCGCAAAGCCCCGGAAGTCGCTACGGAACGATCAGACTACTCTCGACCGGGCGGAAAATTCCCGTACGCGGAAGACTCTTATAGTTGCCTCCTCAACTGGGCAAGTTTAACCCCGGAATCCGGAATATTGGCCCAACTATTCCGTCGTCGGTGCCCTCCCCTTCTGGCGGAACTTTTCCCTCGGCGAGCATTTTTCGGGATCACCGGTCCTTTCCCGACCCGCCTGCCGGAAAACCCGGAAGATTCGGCGGCTCCGCAAAGTTGGGCCCCTCGCGCCTCCTCGAACTTCGGAGTCCCGGCTCCTCTTTCGGGGATCCTCCCGATAATTCTCTACTTTGGCTGGGTCCGACCAGCGATTCAGAAACTGCCGGGATGCTAGGATACCCCGAGGCTGCATTTTTCATATCGCATGGAATGGACAATTCCCAGTTACGTCATTGCACAACTTGTGCTCTTGGTGACACAGATGCGAGCGATTCGTCATCCTGTCCATTTGGAAGGAAATTACCGAGCCACGCGGATCGGCATGTATAAATTGGGTGGTGATGGTCGAAGAGTGCAGTTGCAACCGACAAGAGCAAGATGCAGGTTGGCGTGGTCCTTCTTTTGGGCCTTGTGGCCATTACGACCGCCGCGAGCGTCTCTGGCCGAGCTGGCCTGGAAGGCGATTCGGTGAGATAGAGTTTGACAAGTTGGGGAGGTAAGGAGATTGTTGGGCTATACGTTGTTGTCTTTTAGCTGTTTGCGCAGGGGAGAGTTCGATTGCCGACTTTCCTGGGAGGGAATGGTCCCCTGGCTAGAGCGTCCAGGAACCTGAAGGGCCCAAAACCGCCCATGGGACCAGTAAGACCACCAGGAGCAGGGGGTCCTTCGAGGTCTCCGGGTCCATTGGGTCCTGATGGTCCCCCTGGATCGCAAAGTCCTGCGAAGCTTGATGGTCCCCCTGGATCGCAAAATCCTGCGAAGCTTGATGGTCCCCCTGGATCGCAAAATCCTGCGAAGCCTGATGGTCCCCCTGGATCGCAAAATCCTGCGAAGCCTGATGGTCCCCCTGGATCGCAAAATCCTGCGAAGCCTAAATCCTGCGAAGCCTGATGGTCCCCCTGGATCGCAAAATCCTGCGAAGCCTGATGGTCCCCCTGGTCCTCAAAATCCTGCGGGACCTGGTGGTCCTCCTGGCGCACAAGGACCTGCAGGACCCGACGATTCTCCAGGACCACAAGATCCTTCGGGGCCTCAGGAGCCCCAAAGTTCCCCAGGATCAGAAAGTCCTACGAAGCCGGACAACTCCCCTGGATCGCAAGGACCTGCGGGGCCCGGAGGTCCTTCAGGGCCTGATGATCCCTCTGCACCCCAAAGTTCCTCAGAACTCGACGAACCTTCAAGCCCTTCAGATGCCTCAAATCCAGACCAATCTTCACCCCAAAGCGATCCATCGCCGATTCCTGAATTTCCCCCCACTTCCCCAGAGTTTGCCTTCCCAGATTCCCCTATAACGACTCGCTCCCGATTTCCCATGTTCAGCAACTTCATCCCCCAGCTCCCAGACCCCAGCGATCTGATCCCCGACATCCCTTACGACTTCACGGACCCTGAAATCCCGGAGATCCCACCTCTGACCGACCTAGAAGACCTGGACGACATCCCAGGACTTCCCGGTGCCACTCTTCAAGCTAGGACTGGCCTGGGGACTGCCTTGGCCATCGGGACCAACCTGACCACCGGCATCCACAACGCCCTGGAACAAGTCTTCCTCAGGGGAAACGCGACCGAAGGAGCCAGGGAACTTGCCAGCACCATTCTGAACACTTATGCCGCGGTTGCCAGGAACTGCCCCATCCTGGTCATTAAGCATCGCCTTATCAGGGAGGGTGTCCAGCTCGCTAGAAACGTCTCCGGCATCTTCCTGGCGTCGCTCTTCGGCTCCGCAGCTACGGGCTAACACCCTGAAGACCCGCCACAAACCAATCTTTCCGAATTTACCCGGCATTTCGATATTTCCCTAAATCCGGAATACGAAGGGCACGTCTCGCTGGGGTTGTGTTCACCCTGAACCACTCCAAACAGTAAATAGAAAACTGAGAAAAACTTGTTGCCTGACTTTTTAAACCTTTCAATGCTTGCTGAAATTTGTCCTCGCTTTATGAAATTCCCATCTTGTAGGTTGGTCGAAACATAAAATAAGTTTCTCGTTCGATTTTGGACTTCCAAGAGTTACGGTCTGGTCCCACCTTATGATGGCATCGCACCCTGAAGATCCCTAAAAATACTATATTGCGAATTTTCCTCGCACATATATATTTTCTTAACCTTGAACGTTGAATAGCTCAATCTAGGATACATAGAGGAGTCGATAAAAAGCGTATGAAAAATTTTTTTCTTCCCTTTTGGACTCTTTCCGGGAAGTCTGGTCTCACCTTATGATATCATCAACACCCTGAATACCCCTAAAAATACTATATTGCGAATTTTCCTCGCACATACATATTATCATAACCCTGAACGTTGAATAGCTCAATCTGGAACACATAGAGGAGTCGATAAAAAGCGTATGAAATATTTTTTACTTCCCTTTTGGACTCTTTCCGGGGAGAGTCCTTCGGGAAGTCCTGTCCCGGAAGCGTCCCTCGGGCTCCGAAGTGGAGCCTAATACCGGGGGAGAAATATTCCGGCACGCCGAATCGTATTGAATGCCTGCTACAATCTGTCCCCGCCTCATAAAATTGTCATCGTGCGTGCATAAAACATGAGGGCGCTTTGCCGCGTGGGAATGCGCCGCTCCCACAAATCTATACCCCGGGGTGGAGGGAAACGGCGGGTAAGGGTGCACGTAGGCGCCCGGAGAGGGAAGGACGTATTTTCCGGGAAAGGGGTAAAACCGAGAGGGAAAACGGGAGGAAAGCATCGCGGCCTCCTGTCGATGCCTGAGGGAGAGGAGCGCCCGGGAAAAGGGATGCCCGAGCGCATATTTTTACGTTGGCGCCTCCACCCGGGGATAAAATACATTTTCCGTAGGAAGTGTCGTCACGAGAGGGCCTCCAGCTGCTGGGCGTGATATTCCACATGCGTAATGCTCACGCGGATATTTCCATACATAAATTTCATCCCCGGCGAAAGTAGCTAGCTCGGCAGCTAGCTACCGAGACCCACAAGCCAGGAACACGTCGGCCCCGGGTGCGAAACGTGCCTTAGGGGCGTCGCGACGCCGACGCATCCCCATTCTGCTCGAAGACCGCGGATTTTCTAACGGGGCGAACAGGGGGAAAAAACATTAACCTACCTCGCGTCGAGTCGCTAAATGCATCCCCCCGGTCCAGGGTGGACGCCTTCCCCGGGAACGGGAACTCCTCGCGGGGGAAAACCTCGCGAAGGGGACTCCAGAGCTGAAACGACGGTTTCATGCGAGGGCGGGAATTATCCCTTTTTCTTTTTTTTCTTTTTTTCATTAATAATTCATGGACTGGTTGAAAGAGACCTCCTCCTGGTTTAAAGGACTCGCTGGGTATCTTGGGTTGATTTTTTAGACAGGATCAACATTACGCGTAAAAATTCAAAGGGGATCAAGGAATTGAGGGAGCATTTTTTTTCCGGGGACAAAGAGGGGATGTTATTTTTTACTAGGGATTTTATTCATATACCTAGCTGCATGAAATGCAGTTTGGGAAGAGAGGTTTGACTGGCTTGAGAGGGGAAGTGGGGTGGGTCTTGGTGAACCACAGTTTCACGGATATTTATGAACAAATTGATGAATAATGAAATTTCAAGGGTGTCGGAAATTTTTTTAGTATCTGCAGATTCACGTGGGAAAATTCCAAACAATTCGAAACACCCAGTTTGAAGGAAAATTTCATAAATGAAAGACTCCTGGGACGCCAAGGAGATGTAAAAGTGGCCACTGAGGTGTCAGTCGTTCATATGAAACTTTTCATCGAACTGAGTGTATTGAATCGTTTCAAACATTACCACGGGAATATGGAGGGTATAAGGAAGGTCCTGACACCCATGAAATTTCATTCTTTATGAACAACTTTTTCAATGCCTATGAACTAGTTCTTAAAGAAACTGAAACGATATTCACGTTGTAAAATTGGATGTGAGTACCGAATCGAAACACCCAATTCGAAGGAAAGTTTCACAAACACCCAATTCGAAGGAAAGTTTCATAAACGACCTCTTTTTCGGCAATTTCACATCCCCTTAAGGAAGACCTGAAACGTGTCATACATCTACAAAGAGAAATAATAACCTAACAAATCGTAATTGTATCCTCTGTAGTTGTCTATTAAATCCCTTTTAGGGACTGTTATCCATCTCACGGTTCATAGTGGCAGTATTTAGTACCATTTCACCTGAGTGGCCATTGATCTCCCTGCGGTACCGGCGAAAGAATTGGGCTCGGAAATCCGTAGCGTTCGCCAGCGTTCGCCAGGGTTCGCCAGCGTTCGCCAGTCCCTCCGCTCGAGTTGGCCAGATGTAACCCAATTCCCCGCGATTAAATCCAACGTCGCAATAATGCTTGTAAATTGAGCGAATTATGTCGGCCGGCGCGTCGCGGCGCGGCCGTAATGTCCGCTGATTAACATGCACATTACGCGGACGTGGCCGACGTGCAATTTGCATTGGTACGTGTCGAACGGCCCTGAGACGTCAGAGGGGTGAATCGGGGGTCAGCGTTTTTTAATCGCTATGACCCCAACCTGACAAAAGCCGAGGTAAATTGTCACCTCTTCCACCTTTAACCCTTTCATTTGTAACGCGTTGGTACCCACGCGAGGTCCTGTGGATCCAAATAGCTACTTTATCATGGACTAGAACCATGATATTGAATTGTCACCTCATCCAGCGTTTAACCCTTTCATTTGTAACGCGTTGGTACCCATGCGAGGTCCTGTGGATCCGAATTTCAGGCACGCAGATCGTGGAAAAGTTTTATGAACGATTGAGCTTTCGGATGCCACTTTCACATCCCCTTAAGTATCCAAAATGACGTTACCACCAAATAGGGCATGGATGAATTTTAATATATCGACGCCAAATAGGGTATGAATTAATTTTAATATATCGACGCCAAATAGGGTATGAATTAATTTTAATATATCGACGTGGATTAAATTTCTCAGCGCCTTTCATATCATTAGCGAAGAGCGACCCCGAAGAGTCGTCGTGCGATATTTTCTCTGACTCCCTGAAGGGGGCCTCGTATCCTTTCGGGGGTGGAAATGGGGGTGGAAATGGGGGAAAGGGATCCTCCGGTCCAGCGAGCACTCCGATCTCAGAGTTTGCAGGTCGGGGTGTCGCAGAGGTCGGACACCGCGTAAATTGCATGCCCGATTGCGGTGCCCTGAAGAGTCGCCACCCCGACAGAGGTTCCTCCCCCGGTCGCCGTGTATGTACCGACCCCAAACTGGACCTAACAAGCCGGCGACCGCAGTCAGGATGCCTCTTCTGGGGGCGCCAGGCACCCCGAAGACCCCCCCGAGACCCCTGGGGCGGCTCCGGGAGCGTCGCCGGGTCGCAACCCCCGCAGCGACTCCTAACAAGCTCGCTTATGTCCACCGACGCCGTCGAATTTCCATATTTGACGCCAATCCGACACCCCGGGTGTCTCCCTTTGAGGGTGGTCTTGGTCGGCACCGAAAATTAGACCGACTCGGCTTTCAAATTCGCCGGTCTGACGTCAGCTTCCCTCTCCGTGACGAGTCGATTAGGTCGAATTGCATTGATTAGGCAACTTTTTTTTAACACGCGAACTTTCGTACCGATTTGTAGGGTGGGAATTGTACGATTTAGAACGGTTTAAGTAATTTTTTAAGACTAAGCTGGAATGAGGATCACGACCCTGAGGAGGAAGAGCTTTTCTCTGCGTAACAAGCTGATTAGGTCGAATTGCATTGATTAGGCTATTTCAAAAAGAAAACGCTCCAAACTTGAAGAACCTACCTGGTCTCCACCCAAAGTCGCCCCTCGTCGAGGTGTAAATCGAAGTAACCAATTGAAATTAATTGAAAGGTACTTCCGAAAATGTTCATTTTTTTTAAATGAATTTAACAGCGATAAAAGGCGATGCCGACTTTCCGAGGCCAAAAAGAAAACGCTACAAACTTGAAGAACCCACCTGGTCTCCACCCCAAAGTTGCCTTTCACCAAGGTGTAAATTGATGTACCGATTGAAATTTATTGAAAGGTACTTCTGAAAATGTTCAAGAAATGAAAATTTTTGAAATTACACCATCGAAAGTAATTTCACGGCGATATAAGGCGATGCTGATTTTCCGAGGGCAAAAAGAAAACGCTACAAACTTGAAGAACCCACCTGGTCTCCACCCAAAGTCGATGTGTAAATCGAAGTAACCAATTGAAATTAATCGAGAGGCACTTTCGAAAATCTTCATTTTTGCGACAAATACTGCGATTAATTTTTTAACAGGACTTCGACGTCGATAAAGGACGCTGCCGATTTTCCGAGGGCAAAAAGATGGCGCCAAGGACTGAAAGAGTCCATCTGGCCTCCAATCAGAGTCCATCGCCAACGGCACACATGTGCCGAAGGGGTGGCTCGATCAGCCAAGGGGTGCAGCATCCCTCCAGGCTCTGGACCACGGCAAGACCTCGATGCCAACTTTATATCGCATAATCGAGCCCTGGAAGAGCCGCTCCCTCAACCCGTGAGAAATCTTAGAAGTCGATTTCTCTCCGTCCGAGGTATTTTTCGAGACCCTCTGTCCGGCTAGAAATTCCTCCCTCGGAGTCAACGGGAGTTTACTGGGGTATAAAATTCACCCCCCTCCCTCCCGGGGGTCTGTTAACGCGAGAAATAATCACCCTATAGGCGGCGCAGCCCTCTCCGATGACTCCCATTCTCCGGGAGGCCGGCTCCGGAATTAGCTCTCGGAAAGTTCTAACTGGACGATAAATTGTAATGGAACCTCCGACGGACTTGTAATTGTACTTCCGCTGCCCCTCGATAAGGGTGGAAGAAGGCCGATAGTCCGCAGGATGCCTCCTCTCCCTTCCGAGGATGCCTTGGTATATTTCAAGGACCTCCGGCAGGAGTTAAACCGATTGGAGAACGGCCCCATGCGTGGAAATCGAA